AATAAAAATGATACTGCACTTTTAGATGCATATCGACCTGAAGAAATTCATTCTCAATATATAATTCGGACAGCAGGAAAAGGTTAAACAGTGATCGATCATCCTAGTGAAGTTTATAGAATACCTGATACCCATGAATGTATCGATGGGAACCAACCCCTCCGCTTAATTATCGATATTGATGCAAGGCAAAAACCAGATCCTTCCGATCCTAAACTTCCTTCTCTAGATAGTGAAAAAATTAATCGTGGAGATTTAATATCTAGAATTTTAGTCGCTTGTGCAGATACATTAAGCCTTATTCCAGGATGTATACCTTTCTTAAATTCTTTTGCATTAGCAAGTTCATCGAATGCTGAGAAATGTAGTTGGCATATTATTTATCCTCATGCTCGATTTATAGATTATAGAGAACTTAAAGGCTTTACTGAAAAAGTTATGGAATTAGTAGGAAATCCTTACTCGAAATTCATTGATGTTGGCCTTCCCAAATCACGTTTTAGTCTTCGGCTCCTTGGATCAGCAAAAGAAGGATGCATAAAAAGACCTGCTATCTCTTCCGTGAAAATTGGATTTCAAAAGTTAGATGATTATTTGGTTCAGCCTAAAGAAAATTATTCAGAAATCTGGCCACGAACCTTTTCTTCTGAAGAGCCAGTAAAACAAGAATTCCAACCTATCGACGATGAAAATGCCTTGGTTAAAGGGGCTAATATGGTTATTGAAAAATATGGGTGGCTCCAGATTGGAAGAATCGAGAAAGGGTTTGTTAACTTTCAAGCACAATTGGTTAAAGAATGCCCTATATGTGATGTTAAACATGATAAAGATCAACTCTATGGATTTATTCGAAAAAATGGAGATTTTGTACTTAAATGTTATCGCCAAAAACAGTACAAGCCGGATCATAAGGGACTGAGTTTCGGTAAGGTATCAGACAAAGTTAAATCAACAGTGAAACCTAAATTGGGATTAAATGAAAGAATTGCTAAAGCTGTATTAAATCCACGTTCACTTCCTGAATTATCTGGAGAAGTTATTAATGTAAAGGAAATGGAAGATTTCCCAGGAGCTTATCCCAATTTCTTGTGCAAAGAACCCAGTACAACTTTGATTCGCTCTCCTATGATGACAGGAAAAACAAAAGGTCTGAGAAAATATCTCAATTCCTTAACCAAGAATAAAGCTAATATGCCTTGCGTCATCTGGATTTCTTACCAAAAAACTCTTAGTAATGAATCAATGGGTAAAATTAATGATCTTAAATTATCCAGACTCAGAATCTGTAATTATCAAGATGAACAGAGCTTGTCCGTAGATAAGTGGGATATTATCATAGTTCAAGTTGAGAGTCTCTCTCGTATAGAATTCTCAGCCCGTCCGATTGTAGCTATTTTAGATGAAGTCAATGCAATTCAACGTCAAATGAATAGCGGTTCAAATGCGCGGGAATCTGAAAATGCAATGCGTGATGTGTTAAAATCAGCTCAACATGTTTTAGCCATGGATGCATTTGCAAATGAAAGTACACTAACATTTCTCAGGGCTTATCATGGTGAAAATATGTGCCTTGGCACTAGCTCCGCTATCCGAGTAATTGATAATAAATTCCAACCACTTATAGGTAAGACTGTTGAGTATCTTTACAACCCAAATAGTGGGGCTGAAGCTATGCGAATTGGGTTTGAATTTCTCAGACAAGGCAAACGTGTGGCATTTGTTGTAACAAGTTCTAATATGGCTCGAGCATTAGTAGAAAAAGCTTCTAAATTATCTTTCAAAGCTAGTGCCTATTATGGAGATATGGATGGAAAACAATGAAAAAAAGACTTTTTAGATATTAATACTGCTTGGGGTGAACTTGATTGTGTAGCTTATACGAGTACAGTGGAAGCAGGCATATCTTTTGAAAAGACTGATCACTTTGATGCGGTTATAGGCATTACAAATATTGCAACTCCAGTTAATGTTGAAGCCTTTATCCAAATGATGTTTCGAATTCGTGATTGTAAAAAGTGTATACTATCTCTCTATTATCAAAAAAATTCCAATGAACTTTCTCGTTTGCCAGGCCATGAAAATATTCGTGCTGAACTTGAAAGTGCTCGTCCTACTGATCTACCTACAGCAATTAAGGGCCATCGTGAATGGGATAAAAATATTGTTTCATATAAACTTGATCAATCTCCTGCTGTAACATCATTCCTTGAAGTCGAACATCAAAAACGTCTATCTGAAAGAAATTTCATTGAGATATCATGCAGTCTTATAGCCAGTACAGGTGCTTCTCTTCAACTTATAAAAATGGATGAGAGCCAAGAAGTTATAGGGAATCGCAAAAGGGTCCGCAATGAGGTCAGGGTTGAAGCATCAGTTATCAAGGAAACAGATTTTTGTGCTGTTGCAACTTCCCGAAATCTCATCCCTGAAGAAGCCGAAATTCTTAAGTTTGATCAAGAACGCTCTATCCCAGATACTATGGCACTTAAACGTTTCTATTTGCGAAGTCTCTATACCGGTAAAGATATGGATATGAGCATCGAAGATTGGGATAAACTTTGTAATAAAAAATTTGTGGAACATTTTGGATCTCCCGAACCTCAAAAACATTTCTTACGTCTATCTCATCTTCGGAGGCTTGGTCATGATGAAGAAAGTGCAATAGAAGGATTGGAAGCTAAGGATCTCGCACAATGGGAAGACACCTGTTATAAAGCCGAAGAGAATTTTGAAAAATCAGTAGCGGAGGACTTGCGTAAAACTTATTCAGCAAATCACTGGAAGGTTATAAGAGAACTCTTTCAAGTACTGGGCTTTACTGGTATAGATGATAAACGTATCCTTCCTGGCAATATTGTATCAGAAGCATTCATACAATCCTGTGAAAAATTTATAGAAATTCGAAATCAATCCTTATTGCTCTTTGGCTTTAAGTCTCGTGCAAAAGAAATACCAGATCTTAAATCAGCTATAAAGGCAATTAATGCAATTGTTGGTAATTGGTGTGGTTATACTATAAAAAGTGAACGAAAATTGGTAGGACCTAAAGGACAACAGATTTGGAAATATTCATATCAAATTAACCAAAAACCATATAATAGTCATGGTTTTGATAATCAAGAAGAAGTAATGACTAGAAAGTTAGATAATCCTGAATATTACCCTATAGCTCCAGTTCTTCCATCATATAAGCCAAAGGTAAGTGATGAGATTCAGGATCTTTTCGATTCTATACCTATTATTAATAATATTACTTCAGAACATGTTGAGCATAAAATTTCTGACTCATCTAGTAATGCAATTGATGAAAAAGATTTACCTTTGAAAATACCAGCCCGTAATCAATCTGCTGGTCTTTCCCAAGATAGATGCCATGTTGATACTACTATTAGTAAAGCCAGTATAGTTGAGAAAAAAATACCCGAATCCTTAACTCCTCTATCTTCAGAATTTCTCATTAAAAATGAATCTGATATAGACAATCTTATCCTTCTTTTACAACAAAAGTCTCAGGAAAGGTTAGAACAATGGCGAACTAAGATTGCTTTTGAAATGCGGGATAACCAGAATTACTGGAAAAAAGAGCGCGAGAGTATGGATGAGGTCACTTTCTTGGAATATAAACGAAACTTTGAGGCTAAAATGAAAGTTCCTACTACTCCGCATAAAAAAGAACTGAAAAATAAATCTTTAGCTTTCATTGAATATGCGTAATTATTGTACAATTTAATTAAGTAGTATGTATACCTCTGACAGAAAGTATATTGCTACATTTAACTAACTATTCACCTCAGGTAAGACCATTTTTGTCACCTCTTACAATAAATGCTGGAAAAAATTCAAATCGAAAATTAATTCAGATCATAGGATAGGTAACTATGACCATTTTTGTACCACATGATTTTAGTACTTTATGTCAATTCAGTCATATACAAAAGTTATCAAAAGTGTAATACGCAAAAGTTATCAAAAATGTAATACGCAAAAGTTATCAAAAATGTGATCTAATTTTTTGACACGATATAAAAGTACTCGAAGACAGTAACTATATGAGAAAGAGTTTTAGAATCGAAAAATATAGCAAGCTTTTGGTAATACGCAAAAGTTATCAAAAAAATAATATACAAAAGCGATCAAATTTTTTAACGTAAAGCAAAAAATGTAATACGCAAAAGTTATCAAAAATATAATCCAATTTTTTAACATAAAGCAAAGTATTCGAAATCATTAATTATATGAGAAAGAGTTCTAGAATCGAAAAATATAGCAAACTTTTGGTAATGCCCAAAGGTAGAATAATATGAGGAAAGAGGTAAGAAAAAATTGTGCTTTTACGTATTACCAAGTAATGATAACAATTCGGCACTACGTGCCTCATCCTCGGGTTACCAAATAGGATAACGATTCGGCACTACATGCCTCATTCTAAGATAACATAATAGATAACGATTCGGCACTACGTGCCTCATCTTTGACGAGGCAAACGCAAAACGTTTGTCACTCGAATGACGAGGCAAACGCAAAACATACGTCACTCGAATGACGTGGCAAACGCAAAACACACGTCACTCGAATGACGAGGCAAATGCAAAACGTTCGTCACTCGAATGACGAGGCAAATGCAAAACGCATGTCATTTTCGGGTGGGTTATAGTCAGGGCTGGCTGCGTAACTCTAACTCAATTTGACGAAACTTTAGTCAATTTAATTTCGGTTTAGTCACGTTTGGCGAAACCGAAACTAGTGACTAAAGTTTCGTCAGTTGACGAAAGTGTAAAACCCTAATATAGTAATGATTGTCTTGATTATTTATCCCGTTACATTTTTAATTATAATGTAATGATAATAATGATAATAAATGTGTTTTTATTATAAATTGAAAATTTGTATTACAAAACAAAATATAACTCCAATTAATAATATTAAAAAAGACTATACCATTATATTACAATTAAAAAAATTAAAAACAACAACTTGTCAATATTAAGTCGGATTTAAATTTATTCATCCTCTGTCACCAAATTAGCAACTAATTCATGAGGATTATAATCAGTTATACCTTCTGCAAATGGACTAGTTATATCACTAGTTATATCTTGGGCTGAAATATCACTGCCTGAAATTAATACTGATAAATCAATTATTGATTCAATTGATAAATTATTATTATCAATGTTGTTATCAGAAACATCAGATAGATCCTCTTCTAATTCAAGTGATGTAAATGATTCCTCTTCTTCGAGATCCAATCCATCGATGACTGTTTCTGAGTTAGCCACACTAGAAAAATCAATATCATTATTTTTTTTTGGTACATAAAACATGGTTTTCTCAATATCTGAGATAAGATATGATCGGATTATTGCCATGGATTCCAAGTTGTCACTTGACAAAGAGTTTCTATTCAACCCATGGATCCATTTAAGTATTGAGAATGTTCTCTCACAACTTGCCTGAGAAGGTACTATTGAAAACAATTTAATTGCAAGTTGTTGCAAATAATTGTGATTATCTTCAATTGTTGTCCACCATGTAATAGGATCGTTAACATTAAATATAAAATCATAAGGGTATAAACCATCCTTAAATGAACGCATTTGCATGATGAGTTGGCTAACAGCTATATCTGTAAAACCTAACCTTGAAACATATGAAACAGCAATATCACATATTCGACGAAAATTTCCTTGTTTCATGGCATACCCTATAAATATATAGGGTGATTAATTATCATTATTTAAATCATTATAAATATAATATATTTTATAGATAATATTACCTTTATGTTTTGGATGCAAAAAGTAAGCAAGCAGATAAAGGTCAATTTCAAAAGAGTTAAATCTGGAGTTGAAAATTTTAATAATTTCTGATTGTAAATTCATATTGTTTGGTAATTGTTTAATTGCCAAAGCAAGATACACAAATCCTAAAAAACAATCTGAAAGATTGGCACTTCTTCGTTCAAGGCAATGAATGATTTGTTTGATTGGTTTAAAAATTTGTGAAATAATTCGTACATCATAAAAAAATCCTTGATTAGACATTAATGCTGCAACATCTCTATTTGTAACCACACTCCTATTTTCCTCAAGAATCTTTTTTTAATAATAATTATGAGTTATTGTTTATAAATTAAGTAAATAAAATAAGATAAGATAAAATAAGATAAAATACCTTTGCAAAAACTGGTTGGGATATTAAGACAGAATTTGTTGTATCAAACAATGACCCCCAGCGTATCTTGGAATATGACACAAGAAAGCCACCAGATATATTCATTGATTTCAGACCTTCATGGAGCAATGCATTTCCAATGTGGGATTTTTTAAAAAAACTCACCAATTTTCCAACTTTTGAAATTATTTCAGCCACAAATTCATTTTTCGCCATATCAGTAGCAATCAAGTTAATTGTATGTGCAATGCACCTAATGTTGAAAATATGTGGAAATGCATTGCAGATATTTTTTCTTGCACCTCTGATGTTGGATGCATGATCAGTCACCAAACCACAGAAATTGTTAGGACCAATTTCTTCTAAAATTGATTTGATTTCAGAAGTCAAAAAATCAGCTGTTTGTGACACTATACTATAATTTTTTAATTTGAATAAATATTCTTCTTTGCTTTGTGTGAGGATTACAAAACTATACAATACTCCACCAGACGGGGTTGTCCAACCATCAAGGGCTATTATTAATAAATAATATTAACAGAAAAATTTTGAAATTTACAAATAAATTAATAAAAAATTATATATTTTCGTTACCCAACGTCATATTTCTTTCACTTTTTACAAGTTTATTAAGAAGTTGACCTGATAATTCTTTACGTGTAGCTGGATCATATCCAGGTTTAGCCAACTTCATAAAATCCATAAAAAATGGGTTAGATACAACATTCCAAGGTATCCCACATACAACAAATGCACGTAACAAGGCCTGATCTAATTTTTGTTTTTGTTCAATATTGCAATTAGTATTTTCATAATATGAATGTAAATTATTATTGGTTTTCCTTTTTTTTTTAGAGCTAGAGGAATTCCTTGAATTTGTTGCTGTACTTATTGACATTTTATCTTCAGACTCAACATCTGATACTGAATTTTTAGTTGCAAGTTTTTTTAAATATATTTGAGAAATTTCTCTATCAACTTTTTCACATTTAAGTGCAAGATGTGCTTCTAATTTATCTGGAATTCCTCTTCTCCAAAATTTCAAGCAATATCTACATTTTGCAGTATAGTGACCTTTTGATTTAGATGTATTTTTTTCAAAATATTGCCATACATCTGAAGAAGGTCGTCCACCTCTAATTATATTTGTAGTAGTAGTAGTAGTATCTTCAACTAAATTAATAGGATGTTCAATATTTACACCTATATCATCATCTCTAAAACAATGAAAACTTATGTAAATAAGTTTATTTATATTTATATTAATATTAGTTAATATGAGTTTATTATTTATTTATTATAATACCTACACATTATAAAATGCCATAGTTTTTTAATAAGAATTTTTTTATTGCTGCTGCTACTACTAATACTAATACTACTGTTGCTACTGATAACAATGATGTAAAAAAATCCACTATGATGATTTTGAGATGGTAATGATAATGATATTCGATATATATATATATATATATATATATTAATATATATATGTGAATGTAAATGTTATAGTTTTTATTAATTTTATTAATTTGTAAAAAAATAAAAGTTGTTGTTATATATTCAATGGAATATATAATGATGTAAATATAACATTGAGAAGTATGGAGAAGTAAAGAGTTTAAATGAGCGTGAGCATTTGGCTAAACTGACTAAACTATTTAGTCATTAATATTTATATAATAATTATTATTAAGTCAAGTCAATCATTACTAATTAGGATTTTAACCCCTTTATGCCAGACTTAAGTCAAGTGACTAAAGTTAAGTCAATGGCTAAATTTAAGTCAAGTGACTAAAGTTAAGTCAAGTGACTAAAGTTAAGTCAAGTGACTAAAGTTAAGTCAAGTGGCTAAAGTTAAGTCAGTGACTAAAGTTAAGTCATTACGTCAAATTGCATGAAAAAAACTAAACTTGACTTAACGCTTTTAGTCAAGTCATGTTGACTAAACCTTGAGGTTACGCAGCCAGCCCTGGTTATAGTCCGAAATAAGTGGTATAATTATAGTCTGTACAGACTATAATTATACCACTTGATCTGATTCATAAATAGTTTTATCATCATCAGTTTCTGACACAAAATCAAAAGGTTGTTCATGCAAGAGAGTGTTTTGAACAAATAAATTATTAGGTTTATTTTCATTTTTTAATTTTTTTGAAAGTCTAGCTGTTTTAATCTGGGAATTTCTTTTTTTTGGTGGCATATTTAATCAATACTTAAAGACAATATATGTAAATTTATTGGAATGAATATTTGAGTAAATAAAAAATATTGACGCGTTAATGTTACTGTTACACGATTTTTTAACTGACCAGAATTTAAAAAAAGGATCAGCAGATGTCATAATTTCTGCCCAAATTTAAGCGGCCAAATTCCTCGTGAACATAGTAAAATACATGTACAAAAAGGAATAGTACTCAACAACCCACCAATATTTTGAAAAAAACTCTCTGTCACATTAAAGCTTGGGTCCTAATCTATGTCATAACAGAGCTATTTTTTTAAAAATAATATACAGAAATGAACTTCTATTCTTTTAAAAATCACATGCAAAATTGGTGGTTTAAGAGGTCCCACACCATACAAATAAAAAAAAATACCTCTGGTTAGTTATTACATGTTTTCTTTAGGAGACCCAAACCAAACCAAACAACAACGTTTGCGTTTTGTCATTTTGGACTCTGTCAAAAAATAAATTGTTTTTCCAAGAAAAAAAAAATCAATTCACGTCTGTCCTACCAAAAAAAAAACCAATAGGATAAATAATTAGTGTGTATGCATTGATCATATCACAAACTTTTTTCAGATTTCAAAGTTAAAGAATGCCTCAAAAACACAACACTAAAAGCAGAACCAAAGGAAAGGAAATAGCCGATTTTGCTGGGTAAGTGTTTTAAGGATGGTGATGGTGGTTATCGCCTGCCACTTGTCATCACTCTAGTTTAACATTAAGTTAAGTTTGGATGGAAGGTCTGTGTTCAGTTCGTTATGAAAAAACTTGTCAATCTTGACTAAAGAAATACAAATAAGGAAATTGTTTGGATAAAAAACTATGAACCTTTCTTATATATATGTATATTATCTTTAGTTTTACAAATATATTCAAATTTTTAATTGAATTTAATTGGGTATAATTAAGAATGATTATTATTGGTATATATATTTAATAAAGAATATCATTATTTTTGATGATCTTATATTTTTAAAAATTAAAAATATGTACGTAATATATTTATTTCTAAAAAAATCATTGAAATTATTGTTTTTTGACGAGATTTATTGATCATACTAAAACAGACGGATAAACTTTATTTTTAAGTGAGTTTATTACTAAAAAAAAACTAGATAAATGTTTATTTATTTTTAGATAAAAATTATTGTTTATTTCTAAAAAAGCAATTGAAGAAAACCATTGAAATCGTTATTTTGAACATGACAAGTACACTGTAAGTTACACATGCAAATTTTGATTTTCCTTAACAAAGATTTACATTAAATTTTTTTCAAAATAAATTGAATTTCATTTATTTTTAATTAACAATGATATAGAAAATCAGAGAACAAGAAATTTTACATGCATATTCTACAGAACCTAGGCTACAAGCTGATATTTTTTTTGTACACTTATTCTGTGTATTTTTGCGTAAATTGATACATGGGTCATTCGAAATTTTTGCATGTATCATTTTTGATCTAATAATAATAAGAAAAAAATCTATTTGAATTTACTAAAACAAATAAACAAATGATTAAATTTATTTTTTATAAAAAAAAAGAAATAAAGGAATTTTTAAAGTATATAAATATGATTGATTTGGACTGAGATTGATGTATCAAAAACAATTTGCAAATATTTAATTAAAAAATTTTTTATACATTTTAATAATATTATTTCGAATAAATTCATCAAAAACAATGCCATTTAAATTGACTACACTTGTGTGATTGATTCAATAATCAGCACCAAAGAAACAAATAATTTCACAGTTATTGAAGCTAATGCCATTGCAAGAGTAGAAAAAAATAACAATAATAAAAATGGCATTTTTAATCTCTACCTAACTGCCTATTATAATAAAAACTCACAGATACCTTCATTTGTTGATGAGTTGGTGGAAGGTGCAATTTATGAAATATCTGGGAAAGTCAATTTAACTAAATTTTCCAAAACAAATGAAATAAAGGTAACGTTTTTATATGATTAAAAAATTATATATTATTTATTGAATGTAAAAAAATATAATAAATTTATAATAATATAATTAAATTATAGATAATCCTTGTCTCAGCAAAGAAAACTAAAATTTCAATTCCAAATTTACATATAAGTGCTTTAAATATCTACCTGACTGGCATGATGTCAAAAATTAAAAATATAAATGAAATTGGTTATATTGAGATAAGAGTCAAAGAGTGGATAAAAGGTGCTGAAGATAAAGAATACCAAATTAATTGCAGATATTTAAACATTGATCAAAAGATTGTTTAATAAAACAAATAATTTGAATGAAAATTCACATTTACTTGTTTGTGGTGAATTAGGTATTGATCTTGATGGCCAATTTATTATTGACATCTTGGATATTAATTATTTACCAGGTTATCAACAAAAAACGCCTGTAAAATCAGCAACTTCAATACAATCATCAACAACACTCTATAATTGGAGTGATCCAGAAGAAAACAACAGAAAATCAATTTCAAAAATAATTAATAAAGAAATTATTAATATTGATAATGAGGAAAATTTTGATAATAATAATGAAGATGATAATAAAAATGATATTATTGTTATTAGTACCAAGGAAGAAGATGAAGACAATGATAATTCTGCTGCTGCTGTTACTACAAGTAAACCAAAAAAAAATAATAAAAGAAAAGGTAGCAATAAAACATCTAATAATACAAAAAAAATTATTACACGACAATCAAAAAAAAATGAAAAAAATGATGAATATGAATTCTATTAAATTTACATTCATATTTTTTATATATATTTATTTTTTATTTTTATATATTCATTAATTATTTACAAAAATATATATATAAATTGTAAATTCAATTTAAATGTGCGCGCAAGGTTTTTATTGTTAATATATTTATAAAAAAAAAACAAAGCATAATTTAAATTTTTTTAATTTACTAAATGCGCGCGCAAGATTTTTATTTTATATATTTATTAAAAATAAAGCATAAAATCAATTTTTTTAATTTGCTAAAGTGCGCATGCAGAATTTTTTAATTGTAAAAAAAATAAAGCATAAATTCAATTTTTTTAATTTATTAAATAACTGAATTTAGATATAAAAAAAGAGCTAATTTAACAAACAAAAAAATAAAATGATATAAGTATCCATCATTTCTTGAATTCGAAGAAAAAAAACATTAAAAAAAAATCTCTAAAGATGAATCACCATCATTTATACAATATATTTGAAGTGAATATACCAGAAAAATGTATGAATGAGTTTTCAATAAATAATTCACATATTCAAAATCTTTTTGAAAATCAAAATTCTACAATTAATCAAACAAACACAAATAATTTAGTTAGTAATAACACTGTCTATTCAATAAACAATATAAACTTTATACATATAAAACCTTGGGTTTTAACAATTAGTTTCAATAAGATTTTCAAAAAATTCCAAGAGAAAATTCTTAAACAATATCCAAATGTAGCATGTGTATATTGTGCTAAGTTATTATACTCAGAAAAAGCAAAATGGGTTCCTTATAATCAAGAAATAAAATATCCAGTTGAAGAAGCTTTTGAAAATTTTCATTTGGAATTTCATCCAAATACAAAAGTGAATAAAGTTCCAACATGTAGATCTTGCCATAATCCAAGAACACGTAAAAAGATTCCTTATATTTCTCCAATGCCAATTGAAATTGAATCAGTTCCTTTACATAAATGAAAATATCTTTCACCAGCATATATTCATTGTTCTTTAGGAAGAACCCCTGGCAGTAACTCTTTTACAGAGTATAGAAATTTAGTTGGGACTATGAGTTATTCCTGCAACATACATGCATTATCATTATATACTGGGACAATTGGAGCATTTCTAGAACCTTCTAATAACAATCATGTTTCTAATGAATTGATATTTGATGAAAATTTAAAGAATGCTGCAGATTGGTTAGCAGAAAAAAATCCCTATATAAAAAGTTTTTCGAAACAAGCTTTAACTCTGACACAAAACACAATTAATGAAACATTTCCAACAGCTACTCATGTTACTGATGATGAATCAGCTCCTCCTTATTTGTCAAGAGACATAATTATTCAGAATTATAATTTTCCAGATGAAGTTCATAATGAAGATTTTCATTATGATAAACTAATAAGTGGATTTGTACAGTTAAACAATAATACAAAGCTACCAATTTCAACAAATCATAAAGATTTAGAGCCTTTATTGTTTCCATATTTATTTTTAAATGGTAAAGGTCATTATTATGATTTAATTAAGGAAGGCAATAACAATCATTTAACATTTGGTAAATATGCAAAACACATGATTCTTCTTTTTGATCCAAGATTTCGCTTAGATCACTATTGGCCTGCACACACATATTTACAGCTTGAAAAATTAAGAAATCACCAAAATACAAGAAGAATTTTACGACAAAAAGAAGTAGAAGGAAATTCAAGACCAGATGATATCAATTTAATCTCATATAGTCAATACAATGGAGCCCCAAAGATAAATGAAGAAATAACAATACCTCTACCAACTTTTATAAGAACAGGAGATTCTTATTTTCATGAAAAGGAACTTCATTTAAATACAATGCTCAGGGGTTTTGGATTGCCAAATTTATTAGAATTATACATATGGGGTCTGTACTAGGAAAATCGACCTTCCAGACAAAAAATCTATTTTTGGTAACAACCCTTATAAATTTGGTTACACATATGTTTTTAATATACAAAGAAAATATTACAAGCCTTGTATCTCATTTTTCTACTATGCAAATAGGGTCCAATTTTTTCACCAATTGTAAATCCTTTATTAGAGATTATTATTGAGTAAAAAGACAAAAAAAAAAAAAAATAGCTGGAAGCTTGATTTTCCTAGTACAGACCCCATATGTGAAATTCAAATTTACATGTGTGAAATTCAAATTAGCCAATCAGAATTTCACCCCATTCCATAATATTTCAATTTCACATAATTTCAATTTCATATACAACATTTTCCATGACTAATTTGTTGCGGTATCTTTTTCTTCTTTTTCTTCCTTCCTTTATCTATTACTACGGAATTTATTTGACCAATGACGCTTTAATATTTTCTTAATTAATCGCTTCAAAAGCATTCTATTGCTCCTCCTGATGACAGTCCTTTTTAAAAGATCCAGAATATTGAAATTGACAAAGAAATAATTTCTCTGAGGTGCTTACTTATTGTGTAAAGCAATCAAGTCAATGATCAAATATTTTTGTTCCTCAATGTTATTCTGATCTCTCCAAGACAATTTTTGACAGTGATGATTTAGAAAACTTTTGCATTTTAGGAATTCCAGGAATTGGAAAAGCATTCTTTGTTTACTATTACTACCTGCTTATCCCAAATCCGATCAGATGAAAACTGGACCAGATAATGATTAGAATGTATTGGTCGTGTGACATATCCCTGAGGCTGCTTTTTATATGAAAGTAAATTCGAAATTCGTGTCACATGAAATTTTTTTAAAAATATCTCGCTATTTTTATAACAAAGTTGAACTTTGTTGTTAGAATAAAATGAAAGTACCACATTCATTAAAGCTTTCTAATGAATACCTTTTCATATCGAAAGGTGTTCTCTTTGTGAATTCACGGCTATTCAAAAACAGTATTACTTTTTCACTTCAAAGCTCAGATTATTTCTCATATCGCTTTAAAAGACTTGATAGTAAATGAGAAGGTGTAGAATACTTTAAGCTTTCATATGGTTATTACTTTATGGGGGATATTGGTTAATAGGTTCTAGAGGGGCTTAGGAAAAACTATTATATAGAAATTTAATAGTCGTGAAAATTTTATATAGATGGGATTCAGCAAAAACTAAAAGGTATTTTATTAGTGTTTGTTTTATATTGATTAAAATTCATTAATGATTATTACGAATATACATCAATCAGTAGTTGTTATAGCAACATTAAATAATAATATTAGTAGCAACAAAATAGCAATCGACAACGAATCATCGTTTTGATGATGATAATAAAGATTAAGATCCAGTTTGTGGTAGTTCGAAATAAGCGTTAAAGACAAGATCTACGAAGCTTGCAAAATATACTAACGAATGTTTTGTCAATTATTCAATGGTTTGTGTAGGAGTAAGCATTAAGGACAAGATCTATGAACAAAATATACTAAAAAACGTTTTATCAATTATTTAATAATATGTGTAAGAGTGATCAAAGTAAGCATTAAGGACAAGATCTTTGAAGCTTGCAAATATACTAACGAACGTTTTAACAATCATTCAATAGTCATATTTGTTATTTATTTATGTATATAAATTTTTCTTTTATTTTAACTTAAATAACATCACTATGATAAATAATTAAATGAATAAAGTCAGAGATAAAACACCTTTTAATTTATTCATTATTTTTGCTTGTTTATTATTCTAATCATTATTTAAGTACATATATAATAAAGAAAATTTTAATATCTATTTATTTATTTACTTATAAAAGACACCCGAGTGATCAAAAATCTGTAAATATTCATAATAATGTAATATACTTGCAATTGAACGGGCAAAACAAATTTTACATATATGAATATAAAAGCAAAATTTGACTTTGAGGGTCAGATTATTTTCGGTTTTATTAACAACCTGCCTTAAAAAATTTCTTAAAGCAGTATATATGATAAAGAAGTTATATCTCAAATTTGGCGGTGGTTGCTACACAGCAAGGGTATCAAACGAGGGTGTGAAGACATTCGATTATAAAATTTTACTATATAGTTTTACAACCTCTTATAGATCAGCGGGAAATGTCATGCGACTGATATGATATTAAATAAAATTAAAACCATTTATTTATAAAATAATAATATATTTATTTATTTAATTTAGAGGATGAATTGTTTCAAGTTGTGATTTATTTCTTTTGAAGTACATATTTTTTTAAAAAACCAAGTTTCATCCGTGTTCTTTTACATGTTAATAAATTACCAGCATTTGAAAAGTCTCTCACTTCGGTATAAGTGTTGCGGATTGTAACAACAAATCCTTTAATAATAATAAGCCAACTGTAATTCATTAATGTCAACAACCGTTGTTATTATTATTGTGCAAAAAATTTCTATTAACGCTAACCCGTTACAACCCAGTAATCCGTTAATTACCGGAAGGTCGTAACACTATATGTAGGTAGATCTTGGGTTGGGTGACGAAATATTTTGGAATGTAAAAAGTATTTCGTCAAATGTGACGAAATGTGACGAAATGTGACAAAGGGTAAAGTCAAAAGTCAAATTGTGATAAAGATGACGAAAATATAAAATTAAACAAAAAATTAATTTTAAACATTTTTTACATCGTAAATCATGTTTCTTGGTTGGATATTTAATTTTTGTACGCAAAATTTTAGTATGAATTGCTGCTTCACATCTATCGCTGGTTTCATAACTTTCTTCAAAATCTGTAGTATCATCTGATAATTCTGATTGTTTGATTTACTATTTTAATGGAGTGTAACCATACATCAAACACAGGACGTCCTGTAGCTAATTCTTGATTATTGTTAAATGAACTTTAATTTTAATGTTTGCAAATTCATATTATATGATGATGATTGAGAAGGAATTGGTGAATTGGGTGAACTAGAATTTGACATCATGAATTTTATTTACTCCATAATTTAAAATCTCCAAAATAATTGGTTTATTTTATTTTATTGTTTGTTGATTTCGTCACTTTCGTCAAATTACTCAAAGTGTAAAAACCCTATTTCGTCACATTTATTTTCGTCATGTGATGAAAAGGAGACATTTCGTCATCCAACCTCGATCGTAACACATAAAATATGCAATAGTCATTCTCAATTGAAAAGGAATGCCCTTATTGGCAGCAAGTTCAATTCTTGATATATTCAAAATTACACGCAAAGATGGAATCATAAAAGTTATACTTGATATTCATATATAAATATTCGTCGCTATTTTATTCTGTTTATTAATAGAAAAAAAAGTATATCATGTATATCCTTGCATTTATTGACATCTCTCTTTTCTTTTTCGTGATATCATTATAGTTGTATGCCTATCTATCAATTATTATCAGTTTACTATATATTACATGAATAAAATCTAGATGCATACAAACTTCCTACTGATTTACATGAATTCTACAAATATTAATAATACCAATATACTAATACTAATACTGTCATTTCCATCTTTCCAATAGAAACGGACCATACCTCCCAAAAAGGAAATTACTGCACTGTAAGTAACTCTTAATGTAGAGAATTTTTGATGGCCTAGAAACCATAAAATTTGAGATATTTTCCGTTGAAAATCAAGAAATTTTTTTTTCCATTGAAAAGTTCCCATATAGATTATGGTAGATTTCATATGAAAATTTGGATACGAATTCTGATTGGCTAATTTGAATTTCACGCATTCACGCATGGTTTTTTTAAGTAATTACCGATTTACATGAATATGAAAAAGGCAATGAATTCAATTTACTCTGATCAACAAACAACTACATTCACAAAGAAATCACGAATTTGATTTTCACATTCCTTTTATTGGCTATTCTTTCCATTGTCAATGCTATTCACATTAGGGATGTCCACCGAAACCCCTTTTCGGTAGTACCGAAAGTACTTTCGAACGTTTGCAAGTTAGAAACCTAAACCGAAAGTCAAACAATAAATACATTTGACAAAAACCGCTTATTTTATTTGAATCATTATCAAAAAATCATTATCAAAATTTATAATTAATCCTAATTTTTTTCTAAATTCAAAACATTATTTTCTTAGCATGATTTCTAATATTTTTCTAGTCACTTTTCGTTTTGGTTTGGTTTTCATCATCTACATCAATATCTATATCATTTGTCTCATAATCATTTGTTCTATTTTCGCAGTATTCATAATCATTTCGTGATTTCTTTCTTCACCCGTCTGACCTCTTCACTTTTTTATTATGTTCATCACTTGTATCTTCATCATTTTCATATCTATCAATCTCTTCTTTTAAATTAATTTCCTCATCAGAACTAATAGTATATACACTACCTGGAAAAAAGTCAGGCGCATTTTTAAACAAAAATTGCACAACAATAATTAAATAAAAGGTTCCGTTTTGCAACTTAGGTTACCAAATTATATATAAAAAATTTCACATCTTTATCATTTTTATTAAACTAATATTAGAAAAATAAAATCTCAACCATTTATTTTCTCTTCCAAAAAAAATAATTGCCGAAAAACGATCATTTAAGGCTAATATTTCGAGTTTAAAAGATTTCAAAGGAATTGTTCAAAAATTTATTAAGAATGATGTTTGTTTACAAAAAAAAAATAATAATAATAAAAACAAGAAAGATACTTATTGAGACTTTTATTATCAAAAAAAAATTTTTTCCTCCTAGACATAATAACAATGGAAAATTTAAATTTTGCATGTAAAATTTTGAATTACAAAATGAATAATATAAATTACGTGTGATTTTATGCAATTTAAAATGCTCCCGACTTTTGTCCGTAATGTACTTTTATGTTTTTCAATTTTAATTGGATGAAAATTAAAATTAATTTGAATTTTTTTCTTTTTTTTTTTAATTGTACAGATTATATGTATATATGATTTAAGAAAAATTATGGTATACAGAAAAAAAGTAATACTATAATGTTTTCGGTAGCTTGGAATAGTTTCGGTGGACATCCCTAATTCACATCAACTTCCTAAAAGAGTTACCTTTGGAACATGTGGTTTACCTAATTATCGTAACCAGCTACACTTGCTGTAGCCTCCTTTTCACCTGATCCTGTCGTTGTTGGAACAACTGATGCTTTTGCTATCACTGGAATACTAAATTACGATATCATCGAAACCGACAACACTTGTATTCTTTACTGGGAATATCGTAATAACAATAGCAAGTGATCCCATTATTGTGCAGCCTTGTAATGGAAGTAGTTGTCCAATTAAAACTAGAACACCAATTGCTCAAACAGTGCAAGTTTTAGTACCAAAAAAATTACCGAGTCCATACAGTATTGGAGTTGCTGTTAGGAGACTACCTGACAGGATAATATGCTATGCAACGTCTGTTGTTGCATCTAAGGATGTAGCTTTTCTCCTCCAGAGCTCGTTTTTTAAATTGCAGTTAAAAATAAGAATAATTTAATTTTTTATTATTAACGTTAATTATTATTTAATAGTTACAACTTAATATAAATTTGATTGCTTATATTTTTATCGTCATTATTATATTTGAAAAACAATCCAAATTCAAAATATTTAAAACTTTATTCGCTATTAATAATCTCAATGATTGCATATACAATATATTTTGATAAAAGGTGAATATATTGTGAAATAAAACATTCATGGATAAGAAGCAA